TTCAAGGCCACATATTAATCTCACCGATGTTATCAGCTATTTTAAACTGATTTTTGCTTCTGCGTACAATATAAGGACATACGGTTGATTTGAACCAATAGTTGTTCAACCATTGCCAGCATAATCAAATAAAATTTTTAAAAAAAAGAACGTGTTTTCATGTGAAGATATCGGCAATTTTAAACTATTTTAAACTTCTGCCTACAATATAAGGACATACGGTTGATTAGAACCAATAGTTGTTCAACCATTACCAGCATAATCAAATAAAATTTAAAAAAAAAGAAAACAGAACGTGTTTTCATGTGAAGTTATCAGCTATTTTAAACTGATTTTTACTTCTGCATACCTACAGAATTTAAACAATACGACAACAAACGATCGATTGGAACCAATAGCTTGTTCAACCATTACCAGCATTATCAAATAATATTAAAAAAAAGTGTTTTCATGTGAAGTTAGCAGCTATTTTAAATTGATTTTTACTTCTGTGTACCTACAGAATATTAACAACACACGTAGTTGTTGATCCGTTACCAGCAAATAAAAAATCTAAAAAAAAAGTGTTTTCATGTGAAGTTATCAGCTATTTCCATCTCATTAGACCAACTTTTTTCTACCATTAAACATTGAAATCTGTTTGTTTTTCGGTTATGCCTTTATTCATTCGTTAAGTGCAAAAAGTTGCGTCGTTAGGTGCAAAAAGGTGTGGATTTTTCCAATTTCAACAACATATCGAACTAATGACAAAGGACAAAGAATTGTTGATTTTTAAAATTTTAACACAATATCAAGGACTTTTAATGTGATTTGTGTGTGACGTCACTGTTTCGTAAGATTGACGGTTATTTTAAAAAAAAAGAAATCGAGTAAAGATAGGCGTAAATTGTGCGTTTAATTAAAATGAAAATATAGTTTGCACCTGTCTAACCTTGAAGAAACCAGGGAAGAAAATACAGTCTTGTCATTAAAATAATACATGTGTACGGAGGAGGGGATAAATGAAAGTTATTAGATAATTGTATAAATGACATGTGTTAAGATTGATAGAAGAGGAGATTAAACAAGGGTTTAAGGGGTCAGAGTTTACACCAAAAGGCCAAAAGTATCAATGGTTTATGTTTGATTTTAATTTGCAGCCTAAAGGTAGATACCTATCTCCTAGTACTACCAGTATTACATGTAAATTATTTATAAATAGATTTATTTTGAACTATGACATGATCCAGGTCCACATAATATATACACCCTGATCTATCTTCTAGTCAATGGATGTAACTAGAAACTTGTTTTGATGATTATGTGTTAATTGAGAAAGTGACTTAATCAACTACTGATGACATGATGACATGTCGCTCAGATGACAAGTGACGGTATATAGGTAGAAATGGCAGTATAGATTTAATTCTTTCACTGAAGACCATGATAGAAGGAATACAGTAGTTCACACCTTCCAGTGTAGACTGTTTTACCTGTTTAAAATCTTTGTACATCGAGAAATCAGTGAACAATATACCTGCAACAACGAACTGTTTGGATTAAGTGTACCGGTAATTCTTTGGAAACCTATGATTTTAAGGGAACTAGAGTTGTGTAGTGTTATTAATAATAACTTTTAAACAGCAATTGTTTAATATCAAACAATTTGTAATTAAAGACATATTACAATCAAAAAAACATTCAACATTTTATTTTTGTAACCTGTGACTTTAAGGATTGGTAATCACCTTGTGTAAAAAAAAAAACCAAAACAACCTGACATCGTAAAAATATTCCTGTGGACATTAGGTGGTTGTTTTTATCATAAAATAAAAGGGATTATAGTGTTTCTACTTTTACCAGTGGTGAATGTTTCTTGTGGATTTTTACCTGTACTTCAGGTATCAGCACACCTGTACTAACGAGTTCAATCGCACCTTTAATCAAAGCTATTGAGAAAAGACATCAATATATTTATACACAGCTGGATGAGATGTCAGCTCATAATTAACCACAGGAAACATCACTTCTAAAAGTACATCATTTATAACGAACACGGTTGGATGTCTTTCTTACTTATAAAAAAAATATTGTTTGATACACATGCTTGTCATATTATAAAAGTGGTTGTCAAGTTATTAACGATTTTCATATCCTGCACATATAAGTGGAATCATACGAAACTAATGTTCTAAAACAACGCTTCCAGAAATTTTTATCTAGGCTATATATATAACACGATTTTAATACCCAGCATAGATGAGTGGCATCATACGAAACTAATGTTCTAAATCAAGGCTTCGGAAATGTTTATGTAGGCTATTTATATATATAGTGTAATAACGCGATTTTAATATCTGCGATATCACTCAAGGTGGAAGCGGATGTTGAGTCTCCAGGAACAAATGAACGATTTTAATATCCAGTGTGGAAAAGTGGCGTCATCTGACCCTAATGGTCTAAAACAAAGTGTTTATGTAGACTACCCATATATAAAGTTAATGGATTTCAATAATATACGGGCCTAGTGTTGAATTTAAGGAATTGAAATTAAAACTTGTTCCATCTTTATCTCTGTTTCGTTTAGACATTTTATTTATTGCTACCCAGTTCTTGAAACGTGTCCTTTTAGTCGAATCGGATAGATCAGAATCAAACCTGTGCCTTGTATTCTTTACACAACAAACCTTCCAGGTGTACCAAGTCTTAATTATTCAGTTAAATAGATTTGTACAAGTGTTTTTTGTAATTTATTCAACAGTTGTTATTGTATGGCCTACAGGTGTACCCCGGGAATGATAAAAGCCGAGAATCTGAAATATTAATCAAAAAGCATGTCAACATCACAATAGATACATGCTTCATACCGAGACCATTTTTTATAACAGGAGGTTATTATTACAGGCTTAGTGAACTATTGTTATATATATATCATTGTTCATCTCACCTTGATAGGTAACCCTAATATACCTGAGATATGATACCTGTTGAGCTTTATTAAAGATCCTGTTACAAGTCACCTTTTGAAAGTAACTTGTGGACTATGTAGGTTGATGAATTCGTAATTGTTTACTTCATAAAATTTGAGGGTCGTAGCGAAATTTAATCAGCTTTATATCACTGGCTATTAAAAACTGCCATCAGAATACAGATTTAAAAATAATATAGTTGTTCGACTTAATTTGTGAGGTTCAGTTAATATTCAGATTATACGTCGACATAGAAATTTTATCTTTTGAAGATGGCAGGAACGAAAATAAACCACGAGTGTTAGACGAAATATTCTTAAAATCAAGGTTTAAAGCATCTGAACGTAAGCTTATTACTTGAGAAGAAATTGACGGCTAGATAAATCTAATCATCGCTAAGTTATCACAATCTGGTTTAAAGACTGTTGACTCTCCGAGACGCAGTATACACAGAAATTACATAAATTAACAAACTGAAATCTTACGAAAATATTTGTCAGTGAATAAAAAGAACTTGAAGATTGGATGTTTTGTTCGCAGGGCGTTAAATTCCGTTTGTTTTTCTCAAGCGTTAGGTAACGTTTAAAAGCTCTGTTTTGTGTATTCGAGTAAAACATTGTTTTTAAAGGGCATAGAAAAGTCGGATGTCAAATAACCTCTGTTTTACTGGACACAGAGATAGTGTCTTTCTGGGTGTGTTTAGTGTTGTGGGCCATCAAAGAGACTTTATTAACCTTTGCGACTCCTCAAGAAAACTTATTTAATTGATTTTGGACTTGAATTGCTGAAGTTTACTTTTCTCGGGATCTAGGTAACTTTTAGAAAATTGCATTTATAGTGTGAAATTTTTGTTCAATGAAATATAATAAAGTACACAATTTGTAAACAGTGTTATAGTCCGTTTCACAAAAGACCATTTACGTTGATAAACAGTATGCAAACAGTGTAATAGTCTGTTTCAATATAGAACCATTAGCTAGTCTAACATTAGCATGTGTATTTAGTAACGAATAGTGAATAGTACTGCTATTAATGGTGGAGAATTACTTATATATAGAAAATTGTCAACATTGTAGTACAACTTTTCAACCAACTCTTGTGTATCCAGTCTTAAAAACTTATAGAAACAGTATAATTTATTTTATCTTGTGTATCCAGTCTTAAAAATTTATATGAACGGTAGTGTTAAAAACATATACAGTACACTCAACAAAACTAAAGACCGTTTCTATTTAGGAACACTTATTTCTCTGAATTAAATTATAAGTCCTCAAATGTTACTCTGAAGTGGATGATGCTTTAATTGATTGACAAGTGTGATCAAAGTTGTTTAACGTTCTTGCTAATCAAGCCTTCATTGTCTTTGTCAGTGGACAAGATTGGCTTATTCAGTCTCATTTACTTAAATTGGCCTACTGCAATCAATATAGACTCTTCATTTGAAATAATAGTATAATATAAAGAGTATGTAATTCATTAAACATCAATGGAATAGTCTCATCAGATTATTAATTAAATGTTAACGTGATGTTCAATTAACTCATTGGTGACCCGTTCGTTAATTTGTCGTCTTAAGACTTTTGTCGTCTGAGAAGATTATTTCGATAAATATTGAAGTTTTAATTAATTTTCATATATTTGAGAAACAGCTGATGTTTTCGTTGTGAATTTGCTTTAGTCTGTTTAACCCGAATAACTCATTAAGGAATATTTTTGAGAACAATAGTGACCTTGTACTGAAGAAGTGAATGTAATTGAAGAAATTCTTAGAAAGTTTTCTGTCATCCATACGTTAAATTCTGAAGTGGTCAGGATTTATGAGATCTGATTGTAGTGATTACCGTGAATATATGAACGGAACAAGCAGCTGATTGAACCCACGTAAAGTATATCCTGTTGATGTAAAGACGTAATTTATGGATAATTAAAATATGAGGTGTGAGTGCGTATATAATATATAGATATATTAATATAGTTTTCTTCAAGACTCATTGACAAGCCTTCACAGTGTATCTACTTTCCAAATTGATGAGTGAGGCAAAATAACCGAGTAAAACATACTTTTTTTTAAAGATATTAGTCATACATAATGTTGCCTTGTTCGTAGTATTCTGAATTTACTGTGTATGTGGGAGGTTGAATGATCTAGTATCCATGAAGTCAGAGAAGCATGTATGTACCAGTATATTTGTGAATTAATTGGGTTGGGGGTTGTAAAGTGTAGTTTGTCAAGCCAGCCCATTTAAACAAGGACAAGTCAGACATATTTTACAATGTGTGTATATATATATATATATATAAAGAAAAGCGTGGATATCTGCTTCGTGAGTGACATGCCCAGTATATGAATCAGTTGAAAAGTTAAGAAGCTTATCTCCAGAATTAGAACACTATAGTTCACTACATTTAATCTGCACGTGGTCGTTTTACGATATTACTATACAATCAGTGAACAGACACTTAAAACATGCGACTCGGATGAAGGTGTTAGTAGTTGTTCTACCTCAATTAATTTTTCCGTTAACCAACAAATTGATAGAAGTCAATGAACTGAATGGACTAATTCTCTCAAATCCAACAATCACGTCCGTTCTTCGAAGATCAATACATGGTGATATTAACCAATGGAAAAAGAAAACCACGCATCCAGTTAATTGACAACAAGTTCACACGTTTTGTGTGTTGTGATAAATTTTTGGAAATAAAATGAGATGACTCTTGGGAAAGAAATTATTCTAACTTTGGATGGATTGACGTGCTGTTGCTTGGAAACTTAGTAATTGCACTTGGACCGTTTGAAGTTTGGACTTAAATGACCGGTTGAATTCATGACATGTTTTTCAGGTATGTAGTAAAAGGAAAATGGATTATGTATGTATATACATGTATATATAAGTGGATAATCCCTAATCCTCAAGCATAAATAAGTATGTACGTAAAAGATTTATTTCTAAAAGGGATTAATATTTAATAAGACTGTTTGTAAATAAAAAAAAAATGAATTCAACACCTGGTATTTTTAATCTTCAAAATAATCCTTAAATTTGATTACTTTTTAAAAATAGGATTTAATAAAAATACAAAATAATCCTTAAAATTGATTATTTTAAAAAAAAAACAACCCAACCCCCAACGGATTAATGTTCAGAAAACAGGATTAGAATAACAGAACATTATTTCAATTCCATTAGTTGAGAACTTGACAATTAATTACACAAGTGATTATGTTAAATGGTTAATCCCCTTAAGCTGATCAATTAATTGGTTAATGTAAAAAAAAAAAGGGATTAACCTAAGGCCTGAAAAATAAAAAGTTAAACATAAAAAGAGGAATTAATAGATAGATTAACTACTGAAATAAGAAAGTTTTCATAACACCAAATCGTTAATGTGAGAAATAGATCTTATTAATATTATCTGATATGAACAATAGCCACAGGACAATACTACTAGACTATATTAACTTTGTTTTGTTATTTTGTAAGAGAGATTAAGGCATATTACTGCGTTACATTGTTGCTGGGCTGTTGATGATCCCGGTTATAAACTATCCAATAGGATTACTACATGTAGTGTAAACCTTTGTTAGGGAGTGTTGTGTAGTAGTGTGCTTACTGGTAGATGTGACTGTACGCTCGCTTGTGGAGTTCACCTTGTTATATACTATAGATAAGTTAGGTTCAGTCAATGAGAGGTAGTAAGTGTCAGGGATAGCTGATGGCTGAGTACTTTATGATGTAGATCACAAGTAGGTATATTAATGTTTTTAACTTTCACGTCTGCATAAGAACAAGTTAAATCGTGCTTCAACATGGATCTACTTATAAAATATAACTTTATGTTGTGGAAATAATACATTGTTGTTATATTTCTGATTTTAAATCAACTCAAACTTAATATATATTTCAAGTTTGGAATAAGAAATGTATCTAAAATTCACGTGTCTCTCAAAAACTTTGATTGGATATTGGATGAGTGTGTTGGTAACTTCTATATTTCTATATGAATATGATTTGAAAACCTATTAAGTGAAAGTTAATTTAAGGAAAATTATTATCTAAACTATTCTTGTGTGATTAAAAAATTGACTGAAAGTTGGAATAAGTTTATTGATATAAATATTTATTTAATATATGAAAACGTCTGGAGTGAAAATTTACTTTTCTGGTAAAAACAAATTACTGAAAGTTGGAATAAATTTAATGATATAAATATTTATTTAATATATGAAAACTTCTGGAGTGAAAATTTACTTTTCTGTTAAAAATGAATTACTTAAGATTTGCTGAATTCTTGAGTGAAAGAAATATAGACATAAAAGAGTATATATTAGGATACATAAACTTAATATTAAAAGTAAAAACCAGAATTTTTAACAGAACACTGTTTTTCTGGGATACAATCACAAGTTTTATTCTAAAAAGCATGACAATCCGACAAATATTCTATTATTGTTATCAAGCTCAATGAATTTATGATTTGATTTAAGATTTTGTGAGTATAGGACTAATGTGACATGAGCCAGTCAATAATAATAATAATAATAATAATAATAGTTTATCCTCAACTACATGCAATACATGTACATCGTAATTTTAACAAGTGAAATGGTTCTTTCTTTCTAGATTTGAAATCAAGAGTATGAATAACAAATGAACTGAAGTGTGATATTTAAATGACTAGTGTTTTAGTAAAGTGTTTAAATTATTCACCAAATTAAGGTGTGCTACTTTACAGTGTGTTAGGGTTAAATAGTGGCAGTGACTTGAGGAGAAACAGAAGTGAGTTGGGGGTGAAAACAACTCGCTGTGTTTCTCTAACAAAAATACAACTCATGGATGGACTTGTATAGAATGCACATGCATGTGTATTTATAGAGAGTGATTTAGGTGAGTTGTTAATCACTATATATTTTATAAGAGTTTAAAGTCAGGTGGTGAGGTGAGATGAGATTTCAGGGCCACAAGTTCATTTTCTATACATTGTACAAAAAATATTTTACTTGGGATTATATGAGTATGTTTATTGTATGTTGTGTATAAGTATGGTATATAAAGGTTATGTATGAGTGTGTATATAGTATAAGTATAAAATATAAGGGCACCTGCAGATGTTCACAACATAGTATGCAAGTTCATCTTCTATACATTGTACAAAAAATATTTTACTTGGGATTATAAGAGTATGTTGTGTATAAGTATGGTATATAAGGTTATGTTATGTATGAGTGTGTGTATAGGATAAGTTAGAATGAAATATAAGGGCACCTGCAGATGTTCACAACATAGTATACATATTATCTATAAAAGTATGTAGTAATATTACCTACACATGTTATTATATTGATATTAAGATGGTTAACTGTGTAATATTACTACCAGACTCCCTGTATCTAATATCTTCTCTTGATATTTATATTCTAGTAACTATTCCATCAACATTATATATATACCAATAGTAATATATATATATATCTGAGTGAGGCCTAGTTCAATACAAGTGTAGAGTGGATGAAGAGTTCATTGTTAAAACGTACAAGACCCGAGATCAATAATTATAATACTACTGCCAACTAACGGCTCGCTCACACATCAACACGTGCACAGACTAGTCACACTCTCGTTAGAGTTAACAAAGACATTGTTCTGCTAGTGTGTGTAAACTAGTTGTAGTTTTACCGCGCGGATATTGCTATCTGTACTTGCCTGCAGGCCTTTTTAGGGGGTGCAGACACAATACCAGGTGATTAGATTAAATTTAACGGGCTTTTTGTTAGGAGGTGCAGATGTGAGAGGAACACATTATTAGGATTTTGGAGCCATTTTATTCAGTGGTCTGCTAAACAAAGCAGACTAGCTGGTGTGTGTTTAATTTTGTTTGGGTTAAATTAAATAACAGTGTTTTACAAAATGGGGAAACTAAATATGATAGATTCCAAAGTACGCGATTCCAAACACATCAAACGGGATGTGGTTAGTGCCAATTTGGAAGTTGTGACCCAGGAGAGTTTTAATCGAAGATTGGAAGGAATGAGTGCTTGTCTTAATTGTGAAAAAGAAAGAACCAATTTCAGGGGACATAACTCTAAAAAACAAAAACATAATCGTAAAGGCAAATGGAAGCGGCCACCGGTCAAGACTAAATCTCCAATAGTTATTCGTCTTAAGGACACGTTAAAATCGTCCATCAAACATCGACAGAGTAGTGTGGAAATTGACTCGGAGCCATCTTCTCCCATTGATCATGTTGCTCATGACGACCAATATTATGGTAGCTACATTCCTCCATACTATCATTATTCTGCCAAAACTATGTTCAAAGAATTTAAAAATGCTCACAAACTTTCAGAGAAAGCCAAGCAAAAGGACAATAAAAATCTTAATGCCTTAATTTCCAATATAGAGAAAGCTCATTTGAAGCATAATAGCAGTATAGACTATAACTTATCAAGGGAGGCAACTCCGTATCAGAAAAACTCAGATCCACTCAATAATGTGAATTGCTCAAATGAAACCAGCGATGGTACAGTTTCCCGTAGTATTATTAATAGAGATAATATAGACCTTATTTGTAATGATTTATACAACAGTAGTGAAAAATCCGATAGTGGGACCATAGACGATTCCGAAAGTGAGTATTCTTCAATAACCTCCAGTGTGGAGAATTTATCCGATTCGGGAGACATTATTCCAATCGTTGACAATTCCGCAACTTTCCAGTTCCTGCCAGAAGAGCTCGAGAGACTGGCCAATTATACGACAGGATTTCCCCTGTTTCGTTATGATTGCGCTCCGTCCCAATGTTCCGAATGTATGAACGCGTGGACGAACTACCAGTACTATAACTATCCTGGTCATAATCTGTTTTCCGATCCAAAACCCAGTCAATCACATCCCGATAGTTTCGATATCCATTCCACAATTGACGTAGAGGTTTCGACATCCCAAGAGGAAAGTCTCGACGAATCTGAAGAAGATGAAATAACAAATATCACTATAACGCCCGACTATGAGCAGTCGGAAGAAACAAGACAAGTCAACGCCAAACGACCAAAGACGACGCCACATCGCGTGGCTATAAGTGTACAGAAGGCAGACGAGTTGACGGAAGCACCAGTCAAACAATTATGGGATATTGGAATCTCGCATCGAAGAAATCGTTATGACGATAATCCTTTTCCGGATAGCGTGTACATGGATCTGACGGGAATGGATGTGACGGTTACAGTTTATTACGAGCAGAATCTCACACCATCATCAACCATCAGTGTGGATAGCTATGCAAATTATGGTTCACTTTACGTCCCCCCTCATTGGAATTCAGCATATTACTGGCCATCGTATTATATGCCGCCATCATACGGACTGACGTCTCAAATATCATCTCTTAGTGACATGTCATTGCCAAAAACAGTTATGGTTCCACCTCATGAACTTAAAACCTGTAAGTATAGTAACTTTATCTCCGTGTTCATATGTTCTGTGTCAAATTATGTCTGCGATCATGATATTCCATCACTTTTACTTTCCCCCACTTTTACATTTTAGGGTTAGGGTCAGGTATTTAAGATTAAAACCTATAAATTATTGAATAAAATTTAACCATATATTAGCCCCGAAATTACCTAGTTTGTGTCAAGTGGACTTTAAGCCCCATTCTCTTCTCTATATTTGAATAATAAAAATAATAAATACAAAGCACATACAATACAATATGTACGAAGTAATTTAATATCAATTGAAAATCTGTACCAACTGTGCTTTTATATGCCATCTGTCGCGAATAGTGTCAGACACTAATTCAGGCTTTGTCAGGTACAATTTCTCTGGTGCCTTTCAGTTTCCATTTTAGGTGGACTAAATCTATTAGTTAAGGCCAGCTCAATTTTTTGTCAAGGTCGCTGAGATGTAAAAAAAGGTTAGGATACATGATTGTTGGCAAGATTGTGGGTTAGGGTAAGCATTGGGGCTATAGGTACAGGGTTAGGGTTGGGATTAGTGCTAGTCCTGTTTACATCTCGTGACCCATGACGAAAAATTGAGCTGGCCTTATCATTTATTAGAAGGGCATTATGGGAGATTAGATAAAGAATCGACAGTTCTTGCTATTATAGTTAAAAACATATAGATAATGTAAATAGAATATGCTGAAAATTTCAAATTGCTCAACTCTGAACCAAGATATTAGCGATTGAATTTTAGGCTAGCCTCGATCATTACTAAAGTCGTTAGGATAAAAAACAAGTCTCGGTTATCCATTTTTTCGTTTAATCATACTTCACAATATGTATTTCAATCCGCTAAACATCGCAGGCTCGCGATGGCATCGACAGTTGATTATGGTCTAGATAAGTTAATCAATATCTTATTAATAATTGAGATAACATTCCATGCCTAAAGAAAGACTTGCAATAGGCAGATTTAGCTCTTGCATAATGTATGTTTAAGTCATGGCATTGACAGTGATGTCTTGTGCATGTAAATAGTATAAACATTGGTTACATTCCTTGCTTTATAGAACACTGGATTGTTTTTATGTTTATGTGGCATTTTGAAATTATTTATTGCACCAATGTTTCTGTTGCGTGTGCAGTAATATGATTTAACAATACAGATTTGCTGCAAAGTTTACCGATCCTTGATTTTGTGTTTAATGATAGCAGGTGAATATCTGCAAATCGTTTCCAGGGAAAATAGTCCCATTACACTGGCTCGAATCGACAAGTCATGTATTCTAGATGTAGAAATATCTATTGCAAATCGTTTCCAGGGAAAATAGTCTCGTTACACTGGCTTGAATCGACAAATCATGTATTTGAGATGTAGAAATATCTGTCAAAGACCTAATTGCGCTAACTGCATCGAGTTACAAGAGCTGGAGGCCAGTCCATGATGACAGGTATCATTAAATCAAGGTCATAATTTCCATTCCTGTTTGTCTGTCCTGCGATGTAGACTATATTCTCTTCGTACAGTTGTCCTATATAGCTATGATCTAAATGTAAAATGAAATATTTCTGTAGCAGTAACTCTCATATTGATATAAGCTGCCACGCAATAAGCTGGTTATATCGTGATTCTAAATGTCTAGATATCTGCTAAAAATATGTAACTATGACATTATAAATATGATCAAAAGTTAACAAAAAAAAAAAATTTAATGATTTTACACTGTTATACTACGGTTAATTTGTCTTTTTACTTCACATGAGCCTTTCTGGATTTATATTCGGAAATTCTAAGCTGTGGCAAACTTTTAGGTTTTACTTTTTTTCCCCCTCAAAACACGAGCCTTTCTGGATTGATATACAAAAATTCTAAGCAGTGGTAAAATTTTAGGTTTCACCTTTTTTTTCCCCCTCAAAACACAAGCCTTTCTGGGTCGATATTTGGAAATTCTAAGCTATTTTTTACTTTTAGACTTGATATTTTGACTGTCTCGCATATAAGTTTATTGCTTAAAGACATCAATTAAAGTAGCCAAGTCTCTAACTCATTTTCATCCAAAGTCTTTGACATTGAAAACACAAATTATTTGTCAATTTAAATCAACACTGATGTTGTAATCTTACCATTTATTGTGTACCATAACGCTTTTCAACGCCATTTGTAATGAGGGACTGGAAGAATGAGGCTAGAAATATTCCACAAGTCATGTGCAATAAATACCATCGGTGTAGACTGGAATAACCAGACACTACAGATTGCTATTCGATTGAGACTTTTGTCAATTTCTTGGTCCCAAATATAAGGGATTTAGCTCCTTTAAGGACAGCATGTACATTTAAAAGTAATCCTATACCTTTAAATCTAATAATACATTACACTGAATACAAGTAATACATTAAAAAGATACATCTTCAAAGAATAATGTAAATGCTTTGGATGAAAACAATATCTCTAGATTATAGATAACTGCATATAACGTCCCCATTTGTAACCTTGCTTGTTTTCCATATCTGTGAGAGAAAACAAACCTATTTCACTCGGTCTGTCGAAAGCATATTTTAAATAAAAAAAAAGTAATTGTGAATTAATCAACTTTTTTTTTCTTTTTTTTTTGGACTAGAACTTTCATGTCATTCTATGTTTTTAGTGTGTATTTTTAGACATGATAATAGGTTGTATAACATGATACGATTGTTCGTGATATTGTTGTAATAGATTTCATGTTCACGATTCATACAACTGTCACAATGGAGACATTTTAATATTCAAAAGATTCAAAACTAAAATGTCGAAAGAAATTAGAAAATTACGTTACAAAGATTTTGTTCAGTCATTTGTACAACTAATTTGTTTTATCCTGGTCATTGATAGGGATAAAGGCCTACCTCATATCTCTGGTTTGTTGATAGGGTTAAGGGGTAAAGGCCTACCACATATCTGATTTGTTGATAGGGTTAAGGGGTAAAGGCCTACCGCACATCTTTGCTTGGTTTGATAGGGTTTAGGGGTAAAGGCCTACCACATCTTTGCTCGACTTGATAGGGTTTAGGGGTAAAGGCCTACCACATCTTTGCTTGACTTGATAGGGTTAAAGGGAGTGTTTTTTGCTAGTAAAGGCCTAACACACATCCTTGTTTTATCAATTCCTTAATATACATTTAGTGTTAAATTCTTTTGACAATTAAAGAATTGTTAAAAGCTGTCTTCATTAGGTACAGAAAGGTGGACTGTTAAACCCCATTTCTTTTCATTTGATTTTGTTTATTACAGCTGTTTTCATTAACCCAGCCAGTGCAAAATGGTGGGCGGTTAAACTCCATTTATTTTCTTTTGATTTTGTTTATAAGAGATTAGTTACTGAGTAGCCATCCACCTGCCGAGAGTTTTTTTCCCTTGTAAAAATGGATTAGATAAAATTTGTAGTTTAAAAGAAAGTCTTAGGTTGTCGGGTAGACCCACTCTGGCCCCCCGCCCTTCCATTCCATTGCACTCAAAACTACAGACATGCCAATTGTGTATTATGTAATTGGCTTTTCATATACTTATATTTAATATATGGTTGTGAGGTGTGTGACTTTAATAATAGCATAAAAAGAGGGGTGTGTGACTTTAATAATAGCATAAAAAGAGGGGAGTGTAATGTTGATAAACTGGTTTCCATGTATATGCCTTACCTTTAAGTTAAAACGAATGGTATTTAAATGACTGAAGTTCATGTGTAAAAACTGATTTTATTAATGGAAGGGGTACAGGTTCAACGTTTATAATTCGGTCTATAATTCGGTCAATAAAGCGTAATTGATGATATAATTTGGTTATTATCTTGTTCCTCATGTATCATATATTAAGGAAGTTGAATGATTTAAAATCATCAACACTTATTTCCTCAATTTTTATTCCTCTTAGTTTCTTGCATCATGTAAATCACAACTTCCTTATACTTAAAAATTGCTGCGTAGTGAGCAGCTGCTCTCTATTAATATTAAAGGTCCAAGTGCTTTATATTATTATTAAAGGTCCAACTGCTCTGTAGGTTCAAGTCCTCTGTATTATTATTAAAGGTCCAAGTCCTCTGTATTATTATTAAAGGTCCAAGTGCGCTGTATTATTATTAAAGGTCCTTTCTTCTGATGGTTGTTGGTCATTAAACTAGGTTCTTTAGGGACCCCACTGGTATAAATTGGATCGCCGAATGGTATAGCGCGTGCATGTTGTATCATAAGGTTTATCATTGAGTCAACTGGCTAGTTTCGATTCCCTGGTTATACGTGATAAGGAGTAGGGTCGCCTGTTCAACCTCATGGGTTTTATCCAGGTCCTGCGGTTTCCTAGTCATTCATCCCTTTACAGCTGGAATTTGATATAAGAGTAGGCCGTAGTGCCGCTGTCCACTCAAAATTTCCCTCATAGCACACTGTATGGCGTATGCCCGTCTTCATTAGCCCAGTCAAAGCAGAACAGTAGGACGTTAAATCCCATTTCATTTCATTTATTTGATAGAGAAAAGCAAGAAGTTACAGTATTGGAGTTGATTACATTGCATAAAAGAAATTGTTTACAGGATACTGTTCACATGTTAAGCTGACATTTTGTGATTTCATTTTTTTTTTTTTTTTTTTTTTTTTAAAGATACATTATGGGAGATTCGATAACGAGTTGGCAGTTCTCACTATGATAGTTAAAAACTAGATAATGTAAAGGCAATTTGCTGAAAATTTCATTCAAATTGATCTACTATGAACCGAGAACAAAGCGATTGAAATTTCCGTCTAGCCTTGATCATCATTACTAAAGTCAGTACGATAAACACCATAGTCTCGATTAACCATTTAATCGTTAAATCGTGAAGGAAAGTTATGCAGTAAATCGGCTCATAATCCACTAAAGATCGCAGGCTAGCGATGCCATCTAGAGTTGATTATGGTCTGAACAGGTTAATTAATGTCAAATTAATAATTTAGATAACATTTCAGGCCTAAAGAAAGACCTGCAATA